TGTCTTAAAATTTAAAATTACGTTTTTCTCGAATCCGGATGGACATTAATTGTTTTTGCCCTGTACCCTTCAAATAGAATTTGAGTTTTGTGCGTATTATTAATCAACATGAAATTTGATAATTTTGATGTAAACGTTTATAGTGATAAAAAATTTATATGAAAACCTAAAATTTCGGCATAGGCCGAATAATTTTGATGAATTAGATGATGTCGATTTCTTTTCCATAATTTATATTTGTTTGTATTGTCTCAATTTCTACTTTCACGGTTTTTTTTTTCAAAACTTTAAAACTAAAACTTTTATTATCAACATTATTCTTGATTTATTGTATTCATCTACAATAAACTTTGTGTAAACTATAGGTGCTTATATTACACAATAGATATGCGTTTTGCGAAATGCAGTCTTTTTCTGAGTTATTTTACCAACATTAGAAATTTTTTTATGGGTAAAGGTTTACTGCAAATTGCTTAATCAACAACAAATAAAACATTGAAAAACGCAATAACAACTAACCTGAAAGTTAATTTTCAAGTAATGTTTCAAGTGAAAAAAGTAATCTGACCTAATAACTAGATAAATACTTTCAAGTGAAAAACCGGGACTAAAAACATGTTCTAAATATTAAATCAACTAATGATTTGCTCAATTGTAAAATTTATTCAATTGATTCGACATACATATATTAGTCAATTTTATTTATTCAAATTATTCTCCATTTTTCAAAGGTATTTTCAGAGAATATACGATCAACCACAATAGAAATTATAGATTATTCTTAAATTTTCGAATTCTGCACTCTTCATGAGATATATTTATGTATAATTATAAAGAAAGATAAAATTTCCAATATATACAATTCCCATACTGATAAACCGGCACGCAAACCACCAATCGCTACATATTGACGCCTTGCATCTTATTAGTTCGAATTGTTCCCTATCTAGTTATTATCGATTTCATATGATCTTCTCAACACTAATCTTTATTCAGTGAACAATAACGACGGATTTACGCTCGCATTAGACTGACAGTATCAAAATTAAGCCGTTCTTAGTGTATGGCAATTGCAAAATTACGACCAAAATATCTGTGGCGGAATCTCACGCGCGTCATTATCAAATTGACAGGAGCGAACCACCGTGCGATACTTCCTGCTGATAATTTTATGTCACTTCCTACGTTATCTATCGTGATACCCGTCTCGCGACAGCGACACTCGTGCTGTTCGTCAAGTGACAGTCGATTGTGTCTCACTCGTCTCACTCCACCCGAAAAAGAATGCACACCGTGCAATCGGGACTGCTCGATAAGAAAATCGTGAGAGCATATTCAGGTAATATAATATTCGTAAAATAATACCGTTTTTATTTTAAGCGAACAATTATATAGTTTGACTATTTTTAGCGTTACATTTCGGATACAGCAGAAGTACAATAATCACGTTAAGCGTGTGAGATTGCAAGTACAGGATAACAGTTGTCGTGGAAACACACGGATAATTTTTACGAGTACATAAAAGTAGCACAAATGTATAATTTCTCTATCATTAGAAAAATATAATTTTTCTTCACAGATTTTGATTAAGCAGATAAAGAAGTGTTTATTATTAGATTTTGATAGAATTCCTATAATAAGAGTTGCGACATAGTGTAATGACTTCTGATCGGTTGAGATAGGGTAACTGGGGGGAATATGCCAGTGTGGGGAATATGCCACTCGTTATGTTTAACAAAGCTAGGAGCGTTGTTGTAAATACTATGAAATTGTTAAAAATATTATATCTGACATTTTGCCCAAGTTTTACTTACTTCCTGTCAGTATTATAGTTTTTATGGGGTAAGTACAGTATGACAACGTGCTTTTTAGAATTTTCTTAGTGTTTTATTGAAATTGTAATAAAAATATTCTTTTACATGTTTTTAGACAAGAATCCTCTTCTGAAGTTAAATTACTATACATATTTGTATATGATTATGATGGCATATTACCCCCACATGGCCATGGGGGTAATATGCCACTTTTGCAACACTTTTGTATTTCTTTCTTTTTAATAGTAAAGAATTAAAATATTTCATTAAAACCATGTATAAATAACAGATAAAAGAAAGAAAAAGAAGACCAGTATGAGATACCTCAAAAAGAAAGAGAAATAGGAAAAAAAATCATATTTTTCTTAAGTATGGCATATTCCCCCGAGTTACCCTATTGCATATGGTGGATCGGTATAACTTTCTTTTGTTAATAAAAATGTCAATGTTTTGTGATTTTAAAATTAGCAATATGGAACATGTGTATACTATTAAAACCGTTGGCATGCTAAAATAAAATAGTTATTTTTTGTATTTTCTTCTTCTCCTTTTACTCTATTTCTACTTTCATAACAATGTTTGAATTCGCTTTCGGGTTGATGCCGTGTATTTTGTGAATTTATTTTCTACGTTTCGTGAACATTTCGATGCATTTAAAATAATAAATCGATTTTCATGATTTCTACTTCTTCACACTTTCTATATCTTTTTGTCAGATAGTTAATTAATTAATCTATGGGATGGTCCGAAGCCCATGCACACCGCTGTCTGAAAGGCTTATTCTTTCCCTGTACGTATATTGCATGTGGAATAAAGGCTGGGGTCGGACCTAAGATCCTTCGGTTCTGATCATCCGCGCTCACACGAAGCCACGCGTCATCCCTATACTTATATATTTACACTCATAATATAATAACAGTTGTCGATTTAATTTGACAATTGTCAGGGTTACAATGAATGAAAATGTAGCGGATTTAATTTATTTATCTATATTTAAAAAAATTAGTTTACTTATGCTTTATTTGCTTCACTTATAAATGGCAGCGGTTTGTCGTAACTCTTATTAGAAGAACTTTAGATTTTGAGATTTTCAGATAGAGGCGTATAAATACTAGAACTTCGTGAAGTTATCTCAAAATACAAGCACACGTGCATGCCTCGCAATTCAGTGTTTGTCGTTTATCGTATGTTTACCATCGTTTACCGGAAGCGCGCGGCGATCTCGCGTGCCAACAATTCCGGGTATGGTTCGGCGATCGTATAGCAGGTGTCACGTCATTGTCAGCCACGTGAAAGACATACAATTACCGCTCCGGTTATAAATTACTTCGACGACACATTATGATAGAAAGTTAAGCGTTAAGTTCTATAATAAGTCAGAGTATGTCAGAGTCGGATGTCGGAACACAGCCGATTGTTATAAATAAATGAGAGAATTTCTTTTTGGAAAACGAATTTTTCTCATGGATTGAACCATCAATTATGTTCCGACTGCTCCCGACATCCGACACACCTTACGATACCCATTGTAGATCCGGCCTTAACAATTTTTTTGTTGCGCGTTGCGGAACCGATGATAGCGCGCGACATGATGAGTACCGAAATATCTGCTCGATGAATTACGATGAGTGTGTAAAAGCGGTTCGACAAATTTTGCGCTAACTGCGTGCGTACTAATTGAAAACATTTTAATCATTGATTTTGAGATAGTTTTCCAGATCACTATATACAAAATTCAATAGCTATTCTTGGGGATGTCTAACGTTGTCTATTATTTACTAATAGAGTGAGAAAATATTAAAAAAGAATAACATACAATTTTATTCTTTGCTTTGCTTAAGAAAATGACAGAAGTGTCACGTAATACGTATAATATATAATATTTAATATATTTTTAAAATGAGTAAATATTAGTGAATTTTATGTTTAACCTTATTAAGGTAGTTGTCTGACAGTACAATTCAAAATTTTATACTTCTAAGTCGACGTCAAAATATTTACAGTTACAGGCTGAAAACTGTTAGATAATTCTGTCCCTCACACACAGAACAAAAGACTATTCTTTTATTTTTCGCCTCCAATCGCTCCTTTACATGAAAATCGAGGCCTATTTATTATTGTATTTCTAAAACTAAACAGTCAATAATTTCGGGTTTTTTTTTTACTAGTATTCCTAAAGTGTCTTTCTACTATATATCCGTTTTTATCACGTTCTTATTGTTCGTTCTAATTATTAAAATTTAAAATACGAGATTTTTGTATGCTTTGTGTACGCAATGCATATAAAAAAGTGCAATTTTTGATAGCGATTAAGTATCTCGCGTTCGAAACAGTCAATTACTTTTAAATTGTATACAAACGTGTAGATATCACATTTATTAACGTATAGTTAAATTTTCAAATTTTTCTTGTTTATTGCGATTCGCGGGACAACCACCTTAAAAAAGACCGAGTTATTTTCTTTTATAACGCTAACGCTGTATCGATATTACATAAACATAGACAACGAATACCATTAATAAATCGAGTCATTTTTGCGATTTGAAAACAATCGAGGATTTGCGCTCGCCAGTCGCAAAAAAGGAAGCGGACTGCGCGAAAAGTGGAACAGGCCGCTCGTACGTCGCCTCCGTGACACTAATTATCCACTTTAATTCGTATGTCGAAATTGCTTGCAAATTTTATGCAAGCAGATTCAACCACGGATTGCCATCCGGCACGTCTTCGCGAGTCAGTTGATTTCGTTCAACATTTAAATGCGGCGATATTTATATGTGACAATGGCGTATGTTGTATGTCGCTCTTATCTCATGGATCCGGACTCTTCATTTATGCATCTATTTGTACACAAAATGTACTCGCGTTCCGCAACCGCAAGCGGTAAAAATAACACATATTAGAGACAGAGATGAGATTAACGCAAAGAAAATATTTTGATCTCATTACATATAATCGAATTAGAACGTGTAACAAGCTCTTTTTAAAAGCACAGAGCAACAGCGGAGTAAGAGGCTAAGAATACGCAATTTATTAATTAGATTCCGCTGAAATGAAGCACAGGTGTGAGATGATTAGATGAATGGACGGATGAACTGGGACAAGTGGAAAAATGGGGCAAATATTAAAACAAAAACATTGTTTGATAAATTTATTGATCATTTTATCATGAATTCGACAAAAACATCATCAAACTTCAGGTATTTTTTTAGAAATATTCTTTCGATAATTTGTGGAAAGATAATCGACTCCGTTTCTCCTCACGCTTGTCGCTTTGTTTAGCACCTGCATTTTGAATGAGTCGGAACTGGCTTGCCACTTGTCCCAGTCTGTCTTTGCTTAAATGATTTAGTGGAGTCGTCTTATTCAGGTAGAAGCGTGCAGATATTTTTACAAACGAGCTTCGTGGAATACGTCTCGAATAAACGTAGAAAGAGAGGAAAGAAGTTGGAGCGGTGCTTGAAGGGAGAGCAACGGAAAGAAGTAATAAGATAAAAGAGAAAAACAAAGAGGGGAAGAGAGGGATAGGAGTTACCTGCGGAAAGTTAATCACGATATTGCTCGAGAAAAACTCGTTTCGCAATTTCTCGCGTCGCGACGGAAGAAAGAGAAACGGAAAAGGCGTTGAGACGCCGAGAGGAGAAAAAGAAGGAAAAGAGACGGAAGGAAGGGGGGAAGAGTGGGAGCGGGGCAGCAGCGCCGACGTAAATAAAGGCTCTCGTTTTGACGAACCGCTATTTTGCCCGCGAAGGGTCGGAGTGTGCTGCAACCAGCAGCATTCATAAAGAAGCTGCTTGAAAGCTGTCTGTTCTAAATTTGAGACGATGACGGACGGACGGATGGAGAGGAGACTTCGCGTGCGACTCAGCTTCGGAATTTCACTCCGAAACGCCTGTTGCGCCACTACACAACGCTACGCGAGTCGGCACTAAATCAGGAACGCGGGGCCGTTGTCTCTACGCGGCTCCCCGCGAACGTGGTCCACGTGATCGCGATCAGACGCACTCAGGCGGGAATCAAATCGCGCGCGAGTGCATGGCAAACGCATTAAACAAATTGCATTTAATTGCGAATTTAATCTTTTCTAATCGAAATAATCTATCGAGCGTCCTGTTTCTTGTCCTGGATACCTTCAATTCTAGAGGGAAAGAAAAGATATCTAAGTCCGGCTTCTCCGTGACTTATTCGATGAGAATAAAAAGAGTTCTGTGCAAATTCGGAAATGACTCAAGAATTCTCGCGGTACCAATGCACGCGCGCCCGATGTAACAGACGACAGAGGATCCAAAACACAAGGAAGAGGAGGAAGTGGGGGAGGTGCAGATGGAAAAAGGGGAAAAAGATAGGAGAGACGGAATGAGCACCGGGTGGAAAGAGAGATGAGAAGCGTGAGTGCGACAAGGAAGACGCGAGAGCGAAGCCGGGAGAGAGAAAGAGAAAAGAGGAGGGGAGGAAGGGGTTGGCAAGCGGTACATTAGCGACAACAAAGGCTCTAAGAGCGAGAGTCATTGAGGTTACCTGCGACATCATTGACGACTACGTCGGCGATCAGGTTGACTCTCTGTCGCGACTGTTGTTGTTGTTGTTGTTGCTGCTGCTGCTGCTGCTGATGCACTTGATGCAGGTTGCTCTGTTGTTGCGATCCCGTCAAGGGCAGTCTACCGGCGCTCGTAGCGGTACTCTCCGTCAGGATCACCGTTGGCACCACGGCTGCGGCGGCGGTGGCGGAGGAGGAGGACGAAGACGACGTGGACGATTCCGCGAGGGGGCCCGCCGTCGTCACGATGCCGCCGGCATTATCGTCGAGGACCGTCGCGGATATCTCACCCCCGTCGTCCCCTATCCTCGCAGCCATTCCGGGCCTTGCGTGTCCCGGCGGATAGACGGACAGACAGACAAACGGACAGGCAAGACAAACGGACAGACAGGATTCCCTCCACCTCTCCCGCACGTTGTTCCCGCGAGCGCTCGCACTTCTCCTCGGAAGAACACCTACACTCTTTTACGTGTTCTCTTTCGGTTTCTCTCTCTCTCTCTCTCTCTCTCTCTCTCTTCCTTTCTCTCTCTTTTTCTTTCTCTCGCGATAATGTCTCGCGGTAGCGCGCGCTCCGTTCCCGTACCTCTATTTCCACGCACGCACGCACGCTCTCTCTCTCTCTCTCTCTCTCTCTCTCTCTCTCTCTCTCTCTCTCACTCTCTCACTCTTACTCTTTCCCTCCCTTCCTCTCACTCTTACTCTTTCCCTCCCTCCCTCCCACGTCTCGTTTACTCGCTTTCCCTCTCGTGCGCTCTTCTATCGTTCCCTTTCGCTCCCTCTCACGCTTCTGCCACTCTTCTCCCGCTTCTCCGTCACTCTCGCGCACGCGTCACGAGTTGTCTCCCTCCTTCGCTCTCTCTCTCTCTCTCTCTCTCTCTCTCTCTCTCTCTCTCTCTCTCTCTCTCTCTGTCTCTACCGTCTTTTTTTACGCCTACGCGCCCCGCGCGCGCCAGTCAGAGCGCCGTGTCCGAGAGCGTACCGAAACTGCACCACCGCCACGGTTTAACTCGCTCGCTCGCTCTGGCCGCTCACTCCGTCCTCGTCTGCTTTATCTACCTATCTCTCTCGGTCTCTCTCTTCCGTCCGTTTTGTCAGTCAAACGTCGGTATATCACGGGACGGCGGCATCGTAGGCACCCGCACACGCGCCACGCTTCACCGTGGAAAAGAGCGAACGGGTTACGCGCGCGATATTCGTTAACCTTCCGTTCCCGTCGACCCGTGAAAAAATGGAACGTTAGACAAATGTAGGTCTGTAGGCCACTTCACTTACACTTTACATCGGGCACTCCCTGAGTCAAGCGAGCGTCCGGCGCACTGTCGCTCGCTGACAGTCGCGAGAGCCGTCAGGACCGTAGCGGCCGCGCCGCCCGCCACACGTTCGCATTTTTTTTTCGGCACGCCGATCTTTCTTGCCTGCCTTCTTTCTTTCCGGTGACAAACGGAATGACCCACGAATCAACATCTCGGAAGCTCGAAATTTCAGCTCGCGTGATAGCGGGAAGCGAGTACCTCAATGCCATAAGTTTACGCAGAGATTACTCTGAAGAGTCTGAAGATTGTCATTTGTAGCGAAACTCGAGGGTCAGAGTTCAGAGATCATGTGAGCGCGATGATCCTCGACCGGGCTAAACTAAAGCGTGCGCGCGCGCGCGCGCGTCGCTCCGATTCGCATCGCCGTTCAGTTAGTTCGAATCGCATTTCTCTTCTTCGCGCGCCTCTCGATCCTCTTATTATGCCGCGCATGTATATCGAACGAAAGGGAAAACGGTATTCGCGTGACAACGCGCCGTCGTTTCTGCGATAGGACGGAAACGAAAGGAGATCAAGAAGAGGGCGAGAAACAGAGAAAGAGGACTCGAACCCGTTACACGCCCGAGAACGAACCCGTTACACGCCGCCTCGGTTAGCTAGGGCAGACCCGGTACCCTTAACCCTCGTTCCGGGCGCCATCGCGCGCCGGTTACGGCACTGCGCCCCATCGGCGAGAGCTCCGTCGCGGGTGGAAAGACGCAATTTCCAAAAGATGCCCGTCCCCCTCCCCGCTACCACCCTACGCCGCAGTCGCGTCGCGACCGGCGTCGTTCCGCGGATCTGGCGCTGCGGGATCGGCGGGACGACCTGTGCCACCGCCGGCTTTTTCGGCCGCTCGCGCGAGCCACGCGGGGGATCCGGCACAAACCTCTCCTCTCTCGCGCACGTCGGCGGCTTGATTCGCCGCCGCCAGCCGCCGCGTCGCGGAGTCGGCGGAGTACGGAGTACGACGATGATAGGCCGAGCTCTAAGTAGGTCAGCTGCCGCGGTGTCCGATTGCCCGGCGCGGGCCGCCCTTACGCGGCGCACGTTGCATAACTCGTCACGCGCGACTTCACCGAGTAAAACCGCGTGAAAAAGGCTACGGTCCGCCGGACATAATACGGCCGTAATACGTTTTCAATGAACAATGCACTTGACTAACGCACTCCCCGGTCACAGCACGGCCAGCGCCGTCTATCGCGAAAGCGCGCCCGTTTCAAAACGGCCTAAGGGGCCTATTCTGTAAACGTTATTAATGATATCGTTACGCGCTTTGCGCAACTTTTCTATATTATACATATATGCGCAAAGTTAACGTTTACAGAATAGACCCCTTTAAGGGCCAATTTCACTAACCACGGTTAGCTTAACCGACGGTTAAAGTTAGCAGTATTGACCAATACTATTGGTTAAAGGGCCACTTCGACCAAACTCCGATTAATTTAATCGTTGATTAAAGGGTTGCCAACATAACAAAATAATTAGTGTGACTATTTTGTATTTCTGGCGATATAATCATCCTAACCCAATCTTATGTTACATATCTTTTTGTGTATTGTAGAAAAGAAAGATATATAACGAAAGATTGGGTTAGAACGATTATTATATCGTCAGAAATAGAGATGGTCACACTAATTATTTTGTCATATTGGCAACCCTTTAATCAACAATTAAGTTAATCAGAGTTTGATCGGTGGCTCTAAAGTCGCTCACGAAAACGCGCGGGACTGCCGATCCTTCGATTCAGAGTTCAGAGAGACATCGTCAGCTCGCGTTTTCTCGATTTCTTTTCGTCGTCTCGTCGATAGAGAAATATACAAACGTGTTGAAATCGGTGCGCATTAAAGATTCACGTTGCGAGATTACCGAGAGTTTGGAGATGAAAGGAAACTCTTCGTTAATTGTTACCTTTCCGAAGATTTTCTTAAAAAACTTTTTTTTCTTTAAATACAAATGATTGAAAATCATGTTTTTTCACGAATTAAATTATAGAAATGTAAATAAGTAAAAAATTAGACATTTACATTGAATACATCAAAAATTGAAATTTTAGCTTTCTAACGTCTCTAATAATGATCTGTTTTTTTCAATCCTTCATCAATTTTTATATTTACTATGTTTTTGATTGAAATAATTTTTATTGTATTTTTCTGAATTAAGCCGAGAATTTTATGATTTCATCCTCATAAACATTCACATAAAATATTCACAACGCGTACAAATTGTATTTGATATATATATATATATATATATATATATATATATATATATATTTACAATATCAAATAAGTATAAAAATGCCAACGTTTATATTATATTAATGTATAATATAATGTACAAATATATTCTAAGAATATAAACATTGTATGTTTATTGTTAAATGTATATATAAATCTTTTTGTACTTTTCTATTATCTTGTAGCTTATAAGAATACACATAAGCTACATAAAAATACTTCAATATAAAAATAATTTTTATGATACAATTCAATTCCGACATACGGTTATTTAATTGCTCTTTTGTTTAGCTTCATCAAACAGAGCGCGCGATATAATCAGCCTTTGAATCTGTGCAGTACCTTCATATATCTGATAAATTTTGGCATCTCGCATAAGCTTTTCCACTGGATATTCGGAATTGAAACCCGCACCACCGAAAACCTATAAAAAAATTGACATGTACGATAAATTGTAAGAAAAATGTGTACTTGAAGAATAAAATGTTTTTTTACTAATCGTATATAGCTTAATAGAAAAATCATTTGTTAATTTGTTAATTATTGTATTGCACATCACCTGTACAGCGTCTGTAGCACATTTATTAGCTACATCAGCACCATAACATTTTGCAATACTGGCGAGTGTTGTAGCATTCGGTAATTCTTTATCAGCAGCCCAAGCTGCTTTCATCCATGCTAGTCTAGAAGTCTCAACACCAATAGCCATATCAGCTAACATGAAAGCTATTGCTTGATGTTCTGCTATCGGTCTACCAAACGTTTTACGTTCTAATGCATATTTCGTTGCTTCGTCCAGAGCTCTCTGAGCTAAACCAGTTGACGCTGCTGCAACCTGTAATATAAATGTGAAGATCCGTATAAATCTTACACTAAACTTATTCAGCATCTAATAGATAGATCTAATGGATAGAAACATAACCGGAGAACGTGTCCTAGTAAAAGTTTTCATAGCTATCTTAAAACCTTGCCCTTCTCCAAGCAATACATTCTCTTCGGGAACACAAACATCTTCAAATGTTATCATTCGTGTGTCGCTTGCTCTTTGTCCCATATTAATCTCCTTAAGACATGAAAAGATGGTTAGTAGTGTTAGTACAGATCAGTAAAAATTCAAAATAACATTTAATAGGATGATGACAAAAAACTGTCAAGAATTACCTTACGACCGAGAGTTAAGCCTTCACTATCGCGTTCCACAATAAAGCCTGTAAAAGCTTTATTAGCCGGGGCCTTTGGATCTGGATTTGTTCTCGCCAGAACAAAATACCTACATATTATAAGAAATTATATTAAAAATACAAAATAATACTCTTCAGAAGTTCATACTATATATTGCAGTATGTTAACATACCAGTTGGCAACACCACCATTTGTAATCCACATCTTAGTGCCGTTAAGTATCCACTCTTTTCCTTTCTTCTCAGCTTTAGTTTTAATACCTGCTACATCAGAGCCTGCACTAGGTTCAGTAACACAATATGCCTATAAATAATATCTCATTTATATAACATTAATTTTAGATAATATATAAGTTTAATTTCAAATTTACCGCAACATGTGGCTCTTCTAAAAGTCTCCCAAGATATTTATTTTGCTGTTCTTTTGTTCCAGCTACGATAACTGGAGTTTGCTGTAAATAAAAAAAGAATTTTTATAAATATAGATATAATAGTTATTACATTATAGTTATTACATTAAATAAATTAATTAAAATATATAATCTCAAAAAAATTAATTAGATCGAAAAAAAATTAATATTTAATTTGCTGAAAGAACTATCGTTAGAATTTTATGTCATATACGAGCGAGAGACTGTTCGTGATAAAACTTACTCCAAGACCTGTGCCTTCTATTGCAGTTGCTATCCCCGTGCAACCATAAGCCAATTCTTCCGCAACCAAGCATGCATCAAAAATACTCGCTTCCATACCACCTAGAATAAGTTATAATTATTATCAATCTCTTTTATTTTTGCATCAACAATATTCTAGCAATATATTATAATATTAGTTTGTATATAAGATACGTATAATAATAAAATTCTAATACACTGCATAAATCAAGCATACCGCAATGTTGTGGAATGTGTTTATTTAGAAGACCAATACTCCATGCCTTTTTAATAATGTCCCATGGATATTTCCCAGTTCTATCATACTCTGCAGCTACTGGGATAATTTCTTCCTTGGTAAACTTCCGCGCTAGTTCTTGCATCTCTTTCTGAGTATCAGATAGTTCTAAAATAATGCAATGAGATGATAATAATTGTTTTTAACATGAGATAATATGTGTAATATGCAAATATGCGTAAAATTTCAGTGTTTTGCACATAACTGTAAAAATATTTTCATGTTACGATATTTACGATACTTAGTCAAACATAGAGTTACGGAAAAATATGGATATAACTCGAAGACATTTTTCCAGCAACACCAAGTAACATGCGATATGACACGTGTGCTATATTGCATTTACATTGTTGAGTAGGAAATTGCATGTAAGTTGCATGTTACATATTTTCTGGGTTATTAAATTAAATATGATACATATTATTATAAAATTGACTACGTTTACACGGCCCGATTTACGCTGAAGTTATAACTACTGACGTTAAATGTTGTGTAAACGCTCTTTTACAACGAAGTTATTACATTGATGTAGTGACTTCGTCGTAAAAGAGCGTTTACATGGCATTTAACGTTAGTAGTTGATAGTTATAATATTGATGTTATAACTTCAGCGTAAATCGGGTTGTATAAACGTAGTCATTATTTGTAACTATAACTCTTATTTTTATTTGATATATAAAAATAAATATTTTTATATGTAATAACAAAGCTCCTTGCAAAAATTGAACTTAGTACGAGATTTATATTTTCAATCATTGATGTAAAAAAATCTATTTAAGATACATGTATATACCATTTTTTTACAGATCTATAAAAAATTTTTTCAAGTATGAGAAAACTTTTCATAGTAATAATAGATATATGTCAATAAAAAATGCATAGTGTTAAAAAAGTGGTACCAAATTTTAGAAGTATGTAGTAGGGGAGACCGGGGCGAGTTGGTACAATTTCTTTTAAAGATTTTTTTACACGTAACTAATAAATGGAATACAAGCCGTAAAAGAATTTTTCAATAGTCGCATGCTTATACAATACAAAAATTATTTTTTTAACTAAATAGTATAATTTTATTGCACCAATAATAATTATAAGGTGACGACATTTGCAACAATCAGCCTCATATACGGGTTAAGTTGTTACAGTACTGGATTAAGTTGTGAAAGATCCAGTTTTCAAAGTATAATATATTTAATAAAGAGAAATAACAACATGTAACAATATGTGTTATATTACATTTACATTGTTGAGTGCAAAATTATAATATAGATATAATGTAACTAATGTTCTGTATTGACTGGTTCTGATACGTAATAAGAGACGTTAACAATGAAATCTTACATAAGATTAAAATATCTGCCGCTGTTATGCCGAGGTTATGAGTTAACTCGACGGAGCTGGTCGAAATTGTAAGTAGAAAGCTGTAACAATCTACCTCGTCACAACCAGCCCCGACCTACCATATTTAGATTTTTTGATTATTGTTTAAACAAAAAAATGTTTTAAGAACTTAACATAACTGGACGTTATTACTTACGTTTAAAGTAAAGATTTTAAAGACACAATTAGAATTATGATATAATGGCCAGATTTATAAATATAACATTTAATATATTACTGATTTATGTTATTTTCGGCTATACAAAACTAAAAATATTTTTTGTTTGTGAAAATACGATACTCAGCTAAAATAACTACTTGAAACTTGAAACATTATCGCAATGTTTTTGCGGAAATACTATATTTTTTATGCAGTATTATTTTTTGTCACTTTTATAATAATTACCGTGCACCAACTTACCCCATATACCAACTAGCCTCAGTCTCCCCTACTCATGAAAACAAATCGAAAAGTCTTACAATTAGTAAGCCATTACTCAAAAAATTAATTTCCGAGTTATAAAGCATTTTTTACAGCAGATATTTGATATGCTCTTCGTTCATTTCAACAAACAATCTGGCACATTTTCTCATTGAAGATCGAATATGTTCAAAAATTCCAGGTTTATTTCATATTTAACATACCGAGAGTAATAATAAATTTTAAAAAATTGTAAGTTTTATTTCAGAGTGAAATAGGTGGGAAAATTTGCAAAAAACCCATTTAGCTTAAAACAAGAAAAAGGAAAAAGGAAATTTATTCAGAGATAATAGGCAAAAAATGCTTAGGCAAGCGGCATTTAATTTTCATAGGAATATCATCAATGTTATAATTGCCAATACATCAGCTAATCAGCGGATTAGTATTCATGCTTATGAGCATTAGTAAGTTGTCGAGCAATTACTTCATCAATGTATTCAATTTTAGCATTGGAATGTAGTTTGAAATATAGGAATGTCATATGGCATGCCGAGAATTAGGTGTAAGAATTTATTTTGTGATTTGCAAACCCTTTAAATGAGAACGTGTTACCACTGAACACACACGAGCAGCATAAATTGATACAAGTTGTGCAGTTCCGTCATTTATATATCGTTCTTACCACCGTTCGTCATATTTTAAATACGAGAAACGGATCCTATTGGATGCCATCTCTATCGGATGACCCGACACTTACATATAACCAGTAAATATTTTAATATAATAATACAATTAGGATGACGCGTGGCTCAGGGGTTTCGCGAATGATTATTAGTGACACCAAGTTCTGTGGTTCGAGTCCGAGTCCAGCCTTCGTACAATATATGGCTCGATAAGAGGCTTTTCCTGCAACCTACATAGAGATGTTAAAAGCACGCTAAATACTCTTATAAAACAATATAATAATGTATAATTTATATATACAGATATTTATGAAAAGTTAATTTTGTAATACAAAGTAATGTAACAACTGTTGACATTCTTATATTTTTCAATTATCTTACAAAAAATTTATTTTAAAAAATGACTTAAAAATCTTGATATAATATTATAACGTCATTAAGACGTCATAAAATAACGTTTTAAATTCGATATTATTTGGTCATTAAAACGTCATAAAATAACGTTTTAAATTCGATATTATTTGGTCATCTAACATCATTGGACCAGTAATGACCAGTTTTTGACGTCGTTTTGACATAGGTATGCTACCTGGGACAATGTATACCTACTCGTGAAACGAACAGATAATACATCGAATGCTTTATAACACGGAAATAAATGGTTTTTGGAGTAATGTTTATTAAGACTTTTCGATTTGTTTTCGAGTACTACATACTCCTAAAATTTGGTACAACATTTTTCAACCTGTATATTTTATTCAACACTAGCTGGTTATCCGGGCTTCGCCCGGGAGTCGTTTTTCTTCAAACGACTTCATTTGTGTTTTAATATCCTTAAGCGAAAAAAATTCCTTTATCAGGCAATGGCTGATAAAATTTAGTCCACTAACGAATGAGTAGTTAAGCAAACATACATACACACCAATCCACAAAAATGCTATAAATTAAAAAATATCACTTTTTTATCGACTGAAGTTCAATTCCGTCGTATACAATTTTTTAAGATTCACTTGATTATTTCCCAAAAAATTTGAAAAATTTCGTAACCGATTTCCAAAAAAATCGGTAACGAAAAACTATACACTCTATAACACTCCCCGGAAAATTCTACCCCTATTTTATATACTTTTGGTAAAAATTCAGTCAAATAGTTTAAGAGTGTATAAAGAACAGACATACAGACATTCTTTTATATACATATATATATATATATAGATAGAAATGTGTACTACACATTTAAATTTATCTTACTAAAGAAATTAAATAACTTTGCATAAACTTGTTTACAAAAGGATGAACAAACAATGCGAAACAGTAATCAAATAACGAAATTATACTTTTCTGTTTCCTGATGTATTTAATTCAATTTATTTTACTTATTCGAAATGTGTTTATTTATAATCGTAGTTACATAAGTGAATATTTCTACAAATATATATATATATATATATATATATATATATTTGCACGGATCTCTGTCATCTCTTTAAGATCGTATTTAATTTTTAATTATTTGTCTAAATACTCAGATAGCTAAACCTGCGCGGACAGATTATGAGCAGAGCCTAATAAAATTTTGATGTCAGAAAGGTAACAAAATTTCATACAAAAGCTGCTCTATTAGAAATGTTGTCAAACTATTGTCAGAAATGCGATAGAACCTTCTCGCATTGCCTGTCAATAGGCTCTGTCTGCACGGTTTCTGCTGCCAATGTGTTGTCTGATTATGTTAGCAGACTCTGCTGACAGAACATAAGCTGAGCGCAGATACAATTGATGTTACTCTGCTGATATATTTTCATTAAATCTGTTACTAATCTGTCGATATACTGCTATTATTTTGCTTACTGGGTAACTTCATATACAGCCACTGACAAAATTATTAGGCATCCTTTTTTTTCTTCTCAATATCTTGAAACTGAATGAGCGTATAGCTTTTTGTTGTTTTCATCCTATTGGCCTTGTGAATAAATAGTTCAAACAATTGAGGCACAAAGTATTATCTCTTTTAGGGGAACAGCAATACTATTCAGAAAACTGTTCACTTCGTATTTCGATTTTGATTAATACGGGCACAATTATTTCCATTTCACAAAGCAATTACTAGATTTTTTGTCTGTTCACTGCTTCACAGACAAAAAAGCCTAGGACAAAAACAATACTTATATAAATAGAAAGCTCACTCATTCCAAGATATTCAGAAGAAACAAGGGTGCCTAATAATTTTGTGTCTATAGCTATATATAGGCTGCATTCGAGGAGCGCGCTATTAGCGCTATTGCATCATTCTGTCTTTATCGCTCATCAGATGTAAAACAAGGATAGAATAAGCAAATAGCGCTAATAGCGCGCTCCCCGAATCCAGCCATACTCTCTACATATATATTTGCTAAGATACTATAAATATACTAACCAAAAGTAAGTCCTGGAGCAGATTCCGTAGCTGCTGAAAAGGATCGCATCACTTTTAGATACATTGTTGGGTTAAATACCTGAAAGAAATTAATTTCAAGATATATGTGTCAACACACGAATAATTAACTCGAATCATTACACTACGTCAGTTATTATTTTCCAATTATGAATAGAAGATACAAGATGTACAAAATGTAAAAAAGTTCAATAAATCGTACAACGTGCGATTTCAATAGTCAAATGAATAAAGCGATTTTTTTGTCACTTACCTTCCTGAGCATCATTGTGTCAATGCTTTTTTAAAGTATTATTAAAACGGAATTGAAAAACGGTAATACGTCCGTCTGTTGTTTTTACTTTACGGCGATGTGGCAGGAATCGATGACAGTGCGAAAACTGTCAAGAAATAATATCAAGATAAAGAGTAGGGATGTTTGTTTCGAGTTTATACAGGTTTAAAGTACAAAGTCCAACAAGAGGAAGAGGAAAGGTTGGGACAAATGGATCATCGAATCCAGGCCGAAATGACGAAATTAAGTAGACTTCTTCTTCTTCTTCTTCTTCTTTTTATTTGGCATCCGATTCCTGAGACGGACTCGATACGGCTATACGAAAGCAGACAAAAGCGAATACAAATTTTTTTTCTTCTCAAAGTAAAAAAGTATCGATTGTATGTATGTATCTTTTGGTCATAGACCTTATAGCATAGACTAAGGAAGACATAGGCCGGTATTCATAGTCGGTTCTTATATTTAAGAAGTACAATCTTAAAATGTTATTAACCAATCACAGAGCCGTATTAGCATCTTATACTAGGTCTACAATGGATGTCGTAACTGTCGTAAGTCATGAGTCGTAAGAAATTGAGCAATCATTAGTTGATTATTCTCCTCAAATTCGACTGTGATTGGTCAATTTCTTACGACTAACGACTTACGACAGTTTTATGACACCCATTAGCCGCGTTCAGCAGACACAACTGTTGAGTTCGTCTTATCAACACTCTACGTTGATTAGTTGGTTCTAAAAGTAAGAGCCAATCACGTTCGACTGCTACTTAGCGGTTTGGTCTGCTAAACGTGCCCATTGTAGACCGGCCCTTAGGGAGCCCTAAGGGCCGGTCTACAATCAGTCGTATGTTGGAGTCGGATGTCGGAATGCAACCGATGGTCCAATGAGAAAAATTTGGTTTTGAAAAAGAAATTATCTCATTGGATCATCGGCTGCGTTCCGACATCTGACTCCGACATACGACTGATTGTAGGCCGGTATTCATAGTCTTTAAGATCGTCTTAAGTAATGTCTTAAGACGCTAATACGGCTCTGTGATTGGTTCATAACATCTTAAAATTGAACTTAAGACGGTCTTAAATAACTATGAATACCGGCCGTAGAACCCATCGACATATTATAGTATGGACTGCGCACAGGTATAGAAAAATATGACCGGCGACTGACACCGGTGGAAGAAAAGAGATAGCGACTAGTAGAGGTCAACTCTACCGGACACTTTTTGAAGGCTTTCATATAGGAATCGCGTAGTCCATACTATATGTCGATGGTAGAACCGGCCTAAGCGCGTAATATTATTTAATATTAAATAATATTTTAACCACGGTTAGCTTAACCGATGGTTAAAGTTAGCAGGGTAGATTCATTTCTATTGGTCAATCCTGCTAACTTTAACCGTCGGTTAAGGGGTAAAGCCACTCTAGAATTTTCAAAAAATCGATTTTTTTTGTTAAACGATGCTTTAAGGTCTTAGAAATAAGGTACACTTGGTTTCAAAGCTCGGAAAAATCTCTATTATCTCTTTTTCGTAATCCGTCTGCCGCCGCGCGTTCACATCTGTGAATGGTGAAACTGAAACTTTAAACGCGTTTTTCTCGAAATCGCTTTTTTAAAGTCGGGCGGAATCAGAACTCGAACACCTTTTATCCGATTGACTTGAAATTTTGAGTGAAACTTTACAATAACATTATCTTTAGAAGTACCTAAGGATTTTGCGATAAGTTGAACAAAACTTTTTTTATAAACAATTTTGTGCGACATTTTTTAGCAAAAAATGAAGCACTTTTTTCCAACATGCACCATTCTTACAAAAAATGATATGTCACAATTCCTCTAGGTACTTCTATAGAAAAACTTATATATTTTTCAAAAATCTTTGAATTTTTGTTCCAGCTCAAAAATTATAGGAGCTTCGATTCCGCCCGTTAGACGCCTTCCGCAAAAAGGCACTTTGGAGCAATGGCTCTGGTGCCGCCATTTTGGCAATAAATAATTAATAAATTTTTTTTATATTTTAATATATAGATAATAAATAAAATTAAACCGATTTTTATTTATGATTATTGTATTTCTGAAAAAAATTATCAAAAATTGGCTTTTTTTGGGGACTCTAGAGTGGCGTTACCCCAAAGAATCTATAAAACGTTTAATTAACATATTTTAATTATCCACCAAAGTTCCATTAAACATCTATGGTTAATCTATACAACGTCTAAAAGAGATCTATCAATACGTCTAATGGAGGTCGAATGGAGGTGTGAAATGCGGAACTATATGGATGCCTAGTAGACGTCCATTGAAAGTTACATGGATGTCTAATGGAGGTTTTTAATCTGGCCATGATGGACGTCTAGTGGACGTCTATTAGAACTTTTTGTTCTGTGTGGTATATTTTTGGTGCCGATTTTTAACAATAAAATAAATCATTTTAGTGAAATATAGTATACCATTGTAAAGAGTGAACTCTTGGGTACAAAATTTATAGGCATTTTTGGTCTACGTCGCTTTGTTCAACCGGTATAGTAAAAACGTCAAAGGTCAAAAATCGAAATGTCAAAATTCCCCGGGGCGGAGTCGTCACTTCATTCTTGGACTGAATTTTAAATAAAAATACATAATTTTGATCATAAAAAATAATAGGATACACTTTATTTATTGTTTTTTAGTAGAAAAATGGAAAACGGAAATTAATTTCAAGAAAATCAATTTTCTTTTTTGCTATCAGTATCACTGAAACAGTTAAAGCATGTAAAAACAGAGTCTAACGAGCGCACGTACTCGTTGTGTGCCTTACGCCTGCACGAAATGCACTGTTTTTTATCAGCTCTGTTTTCTGTTATTTCTGAGCATACGCAGCACATATTATTTAGCTTTCTTGACTTCGTATTTCGCCCACTGCTCGTCGAAGGCTGCGGTTCTGACTCCGTTTTTCGTCCACTGCTCGTCAAAGGCTGCGGTTCTGATTGCGTGGCATTTTTTTTAAGCCGGCCTGTCTTTCTCGGCGTAGTGGTAATGGTCGATTTTGTCGTGTTTGGGTATGGATAATGTTCGATGTCGTTTGAGAAAGTCGGTTAGCCAGTCTTCACCGGCTATGTGAGCGGCTTCCCACGATGCTGGTATCTTCAGATTCATTTTTTTAGTGAAATCAAAGGCTAAACCACGAGTTTCTTTCGCAGATAACCCAAAGTACATGTCGTTGCAATGTACTAAGTATTCCACCAAAGTAGCTTCACTTTCAGAGCTCATAACCTGCAATTTAAAATTAAGACGTTGCATGAATATGAACTTGGCTGAGCAGAGTGCATGCTGCTAAACTCAAAAAATTAATTTATGTTATTCACCGTAAATCCTCCGTGATGTCATACGGCCACGTCATCCAAATGTGCTATATATCATCATTATCATCATTCTTTCTCAGCTAGTCGGTCACCGTAGATCTCGGGACGCCAAATTCTTTTGCGGCTACTTTTAAGGCTCCTGGTCCCTGAGCCGAGAACTTTGCGTTGACGGTGGCGACGTACCGTCGCGGCAGAAATAAGAACTCTCTCCAATGGAGAATTCTGTCCTTTGTGACATGTTGACAACCTATTTTGCGTTGCGTTATATTTCTTTATTATTCGCTCTGTACTTGTGCTATAACGTTTAACGTATTCGCGAAACTCGTGAAATTTAACGTATGGTAAGATTTGCAAGAAATACATATGCGGAAGGAACATTCTCCACTCCTTTCGAGTCGTCAAATGGCTTGTTTTTCTTCCGTATGTTTAGGCTTCGTTTTATGGCTGTTTGTTTATTGTCGAGGGAAAAGGATAGTATCCGTTAAATTTAGAAGTGTGCTGAAACGATCTATAGTAATTTTTTATTGAAATGTCTTTTTATTTCGGAAAATACCGCAACATAAAATAGGGTAATTTTTTGCCTCGATAGCAAGAAATTCAATATGGCCGCGGTGACTACCCAGAAGCTTTAACTTAATATTATCTTTATTTACGCAAGAACTGCCTTCTTAAGCTGCTCCTTGTCGACGGCAGCCGTTTTGCGATGGTATGTGCGTACCATTTTCCTGCAGTTGAGAAATACAATGACGCATTTGCAACGGAAAATAGAGTGAAACCACCGGGGCGAAAACGTCACAGTGACGAGTCCGCCCCGGTGGCTTGGCGACGACTTCGCCCTAAACCACTGATATATATACATGGATTGCCGATAGGCTCTTGGCGATGTACCCAATTCGGTTTTAACATGAATTTTTTTTATTAAGCGGTCTGATAGATCATGACATACTTTCTTTGTAAACTTTTTGAATTTTTGCAATATCTTCAAAATTGAAGAAAATACAGTACACGAAAGTGTGCTGTAACGTCATACTTTATATAAGAAATGACGTCATACCTTTTGAAGTTGCCGTCATCAAAGAAACTTTAGCAAACTATAACTTTCTCAAATTTAGGTTTTTTTTTAAATTCAAAAAGTATTAAAAATCGGCTTAGATTCTCTACATTAATTATGGATACCGCTTAATAAAAAAAATGTTAAAACCGAATTGAAGGTCCGCCATTTTACACGGCAAAAGTACCCGCATGCGTGGTGGACTGTGACTGTGTCGGGTGGGTGCGTACGGGTGCGCATAAGTGCGTAGGTGCATAAAAAACTTTATATTGAATAATTTTGAGAAATGGTGAGATGTTGCTTTTGCCAAAGCATCCAA